ACCATTAAGCTAAGAGGAAGGCGAAGACGTCAGAAAAGAAGAACTATGTCAACTGATATGACTGACACCCACACAGATAATGAAAAATCAAGACCATTTTTACAGCAGCCATTGACTGTATTTGCCTAAAGTCTGCTATACAGACAATTTTCAGCATCTATGACCATACCCCATACGATTTTGCCGATTTCAGAACCCTACACTATGTAATTATCATCGTCGCACAATCCAGGGAACTTGTTGAAATAAATAATTGTAAAGAATCTGATTTTAGGACTGCTGTCAAGTAATACATTTACAAATAACCATCTAATTCAATGTTCATGAGCAGTCATCATGAGACTATTTTATATTTAAAGGTAATACCTCTTTGCTTTTACCATCAAAGAAGGCAACAACCTTAAATTTCTAAGAATGCAATATCTGATTATTAGTGTTCAAGTGACTTGAGAACTCCTTCAAAATTATCACCTTAAGTTCTTATTGGATCACTGAAAAGAACCTAGGGAAAAAGGTTTAATTAGGCAATTGTTATCGGAGAAAAATGCTCTAAAGGGGCAATAAGCCCCTCTGCAATAGTGTTAATCTGAAGCGTCGTTCGACTCAATTATCGCTTGACTTCTTGTGCAATTTCCATTCAATTTACATCCCTTTAATTCCTTCAATTCGCTTGACTAAAGAAATATAGGTCCATGGAAACGTATCACGGAAGGATTAGGTCATTGAGTGGAATCACACACACATGGACAACGAAGGTTTCATAAAGCACACTTTGTATTTTCGTATAACTTGAGGTCCTGTTTATGTAAAGCATTTTGCACCAACACTATTAACAAACTAAAATGGAGCCATTGCCTTGACGTCATGAGATCCCATCTCAACTGAATGAAGATTTCATATTTAAAGAAAAATAGTAGTATTGACATTTGTATAGTGAATCCTTGTGTGTGAAACTTACAAGACTCACAACAATTTATAACAAACAACCAAACAAACAGTTTTTATGAGATGAGCGAGGCAGCAGTGGCCGACTCGTACTTCCAGGTTGCTGGGAGTTGACGGCTGGTTTTGTAGTAGCGAGCCAGACGATGGATTCGGGACTCGACAAGAATAAGTCTGTACTTGCTATCAATATCCTTACGCGAGTGCTCAAGATGCTTGCGGATGGAGACAGCTTTCTTGATCAGATGGTACAGATCTTCTGGGATTTCTGGGGCCATACCCTGGATTTGGATTTTAGAAGCAAGAAAAATTGAAGAGTGCAAAATGAA